CTTGGGATGCATTAATGATAACTTATGTCACTCCCCTTGTTTTAAACATAATGAAACAAAGGCTTGTATCAGAACAATCAAATAGCACTGGCAGGAAGTAAATTATTCTAGCTGGGTATTTACAGCAGAGATAAGCAGACGAATGAACTTGCAGCTTGATGCAGATTGTCTGTTCTAAATAAAGTTCTTAGCTAGCTCTAAGGCCATCCAATGCACTTTTCTTTACCACCACAAAGATACATGTATTTGAAATAACAGAACAAATATCTTTAATCTAGATTAAGATTTTTTTAAGGCGAAACACCAAATTTTAGATGATTAAAAGTAAAAAACAAAAAGAAAACAGTCCTTTATTATCTTTTTTTTGTCAGATATTTGTTTTACTTACTTACTTTACTTACTTCACTGAGTAACAACTAAAGGCATTTAAATATATATGTGAATGTAGGTATACATGTTTAAGTTTAATTGAGCAGCAAGACAACATATATTAAATGAGATGCAATGAATACAAAATTCAATTTATCCGATGAAATTCAGAACTCAAATGTGGTAATAATTTAACCAAATGAATAAACCAGTGAGATTTCCAATATGTTGCAGCTGCTAAGAGACTCCAACTTTCCAAACTAGAATGCTAATGAGCATTCTTATATTTTTGACTGGTGCACTAAATGAAAAAAGTGTGACTTTTGCAGAAGAAAGTATGTCTCTGAACTTGAATTTATTTAGTTTTAACCCATTATAACCGAACTCAGAACAAGATCTTGCTAAGTAGTTGCATGCACAACAATGCCTGGAGAAAGGTATTCTCAGCCCTACCATCATGAGCACTTATAAGATAGAAAACCTTGCATAATCTCTTACCTAAACCCAATTAAGCATGGTGAGTAATCCTAGCATAGTCCTACTTTAAGCTGTAAAATTAAGTTAAAACCTAAGAGAATGTATGAAAACATGCAAGAGCAACACAACTGACTAAATTCCATCCAAAAGGCAGTAGTGGTAGGCCATGTAAAATCAAAGAGTGAGGTCAGGAGATGTTTATTGATATTGTGCAGATGTGTTCCCAGAGGCGTCTGTAGAAGGTTTTTTTCATTGCCCAGCAGCTGCGTTATAACCCAGTATTTCCAAATGGAATGCAAAGTGTGAGATGCAGGGGTGTAAAGCCCACCACAACTGAGCTGAGTTGAGATGAGTTCATTATGGTGAAAGATCACACTTCCGTTTCTAGCAATCCAGGAGATGACTCTTGGCTTGGCAGCCGCAGACCTGCATTTGCCTCCGTGTTTGTAGTATCAATTTTGCTACAGGAGTACACCTGTTTTTATTTCAGGGTTGGGCTTGTTTCCATGGTTCAAGCAACAGATGTGTACACGAGTATACCAAGTCATTTTTAGGAAAAATTTGGGGTGACCTCTCCCTGTTTCAGCATAATTGCATAAAGCAAGGGTCTATAATATACAGATGAGCAAGTTTGGGGTCTGCAGAGACAGGTGAACTTGGCTGAAGGAAACACCTTTAGAATGAATTAAAGCAGAGAGTTCAAGCTAGACCTTTTTGTTCAACATCAGCATTTATGCCAAAAATTACCCAAAAGATTTGAAGCAGTTTTAGCTGCAACAATTGGGCCAACATCAGCTTAAGGGGATGTTTATAGGCGTCTAAAGAAAAACAATAAAACACAACCTAACATTTTAACGTTGACCTGTCTGTGTATCAAAACCAGCTTTAAGATAGGAAAACATGAGTAGATAAGTTTTATTAAACCGTATCACCTTTTCCTGGAATATCGGGTTAAAAAGGTGAAAGAAAAAAAATAGTAACACAAACAGTGAAAAGTGCAGCTGTGCTCAATACAATCGACCTGCTTTGGGAGTCCCTGCTGAGACAAGAGAGAGCAAACTCTAAATGGAAGGAGCAGGTTTGAATGATTATACTATTTGATAGCTAGTTGGAGAAGTGAGCTTAGCTCAAAAACTTGACCTCAACACTGATAAAAGAGACGGCGAATGATCTGCTGTGAGAAAATACCTGCTGTTTTCTCTTAGATATCATGAGTAGGAGGAACGGAAGCGTCTCTCCACAAAACATCAACAACCGTTCCTGTATAAAACACCCCAAACATCACATTATTGTAAACAAGCTTTTTTTTCCCCCCATCAGACAGATCCATCCATTAAAGCTGACCTTTTAGATCCCATCTGCGGGGGAGCGTTCAGTGACATAGTTGAACCGGCTGTCTCTATAGAAACAAGGGCAATTCAGTCGATTGTGGTTTTGGGATTTAAATGCCATCGGAAAGAACAGTGAGGGGCGGCTCGTTGTGAAACAAGTTGCTACTCAGTAGCAAAATGCGGACTTGTAAGGCAGAGTAATTGCAGTTGGAGGGAAAGGAATAAAACGAGTGCTGTTGACTGTCAGCCCCTGCCCACCCACACATCCCTGGAGAATCCCATAAAACTCAAGTAGATGCTATCAGCTTTTAAACATACGTAAACATATGCTCTCCTAAATGTCCCTTCTGTTTCCTGTACTCCCTAGACTGCAAATTTGCTCCAGCAGGATGCATTCATTCACCTGCATGTAGGGCATCACTCATAAACTGCATAGATTTTTTGACTGTATTTTAGCTCTAAAAGGATGCACAGACCTGAACATCCTACCCAGAGCTGATCTACAAGTCTAAAATATGGTGATTAATCAAAGAGAGTCTAAAATCCTGCAAAGATGGAAATGAGACCATCTCTGGAAATAAATAAATAAAAACAGAGCAACTCACATATGGTATCTACATGTCCTGTGGTTATTTGGAAGAGATGACACAGATAGACAAGAATGCATGCCTGTGTGTATGTTTGAGTGGAAATCTCATGAAGTGCTGGAAAAATTGAATTGGCTGAGCAGTATTGAACTTGCAGCAAATTATGATAAAAATTAAAGCTGCAGACAACATTATGCATTTGCAGCTCAGTGCCTATAGTGACCACGAAAACTGTGCATCGTCACTGATGATCTGACAAGAATACGTCCTGCTTTATACTAGTATAAGGAATAATATCAACGTCTTTCTTTTTTCTTATTAAAGTTATCAAGTTTCAAATTTATTGACGATTAAGACAGGCTCTAGCCACACCCCTTCTTTATAAATGATTTTTAATAACTTTTAATCTCACATGCTCTATCTGCATACTGACCATTTTGAAGCCAATATCCCAAAATCCCTCGGAGCAGTTTGTTAAAGTTTGACGTGTGAAAATGAAAATTGACCAAAATTCGACCTTTGACCCCAAAATGGCTTGACTTCTTGTGTGTTTTAGGGTATGACTGTCGCTACCCGATCCGTACCGGTAGCACGATCCGTACCATCAGCTCATTTGCGCCTGCGCGAACAGAATAACTTCCGGGTCGCCAAAAAATAATGTAATTACGGTACTGAAAAACTTTATTTATATCCTGAAATAATTAAAGAATACTAAACTACATCGTAAAGACAATATTGAAGACTTTTCTGGAAGAAATGGATGCTTTTTAAATTCAATCCATTGTATTGCTTGACGTCATTTTTCTGGAATAAAAATCCAAATTTTCGGGAAATGTTCCTTTATCAATGAAAAACTGCAGGTCACGAAAGGTAGCAAATGAATCCATTGTGGGATCAGTACTGCTGGAGTGCATAGTTAAGTACAGAGTAAATCAAATATTTAAACAAATTTAAATATATACGCTGTGTGACGTATATTTGCGTATGCTCAGAGCAGTCAAAGTAACTATCACAAGGCGATTGAACTTTTTTATGCATTTCTGTTTTTTTATTTTTAGAAAATGCAATATTGACGAAAATACAAAGATATACAAAAAGAAACCCATGCCTCTAAAAAATACAAAAGAATAAAAAAGTAAGAAAAAGGCCACCGGAAGTTATTCCGTTTGCGCACGCGCAAATGAGCTGATGGTACGGATCGTGCTTCCGGTACGGATCGGGTAATGGCAATGACATCAAGAGACTTTTTTCATCGTTTGATGAGAAGGTGAGTACTCAATTTAAAATCTTTGCAACTTATGGTTTGTCCCTTTGGGGGGCGCTGTAGAGCTGTTCTGCCACACACATATTTCATTACTTTGAAATGACTACATTTCCTTCGGGGGACAACTTTTTGTAAAGTTTTGAATATATTAAGGCCCTGAAATAGGCGCAAGTTAATAAAGATAAATATTTAAATTACAATACGAGTCATCGGCTAGGACCTAGAAATAAACAAAAGAGAGTGTGCTAACAGGCCAACAGGTCCCGCTTTCTCATTAAAAGACCCATTTATACAAACAGGGAATCAGGGACAGTCGATGAGGGAGTCGACCCCAAACAGATGGACCCATAGGTCACATTTCCTTTTTCACCTTCTGTCATATGGCACATCTCAGTTATATTATCCAACCTCCTCTTTCTTCAAGCTCTCTAGAGAAATGAGACGTTGGCCTCAATCTTCCAGAGTATTTTGACCCACTTATCCCTGATCTATAATAAGAGCCCCTAGCATTACAGCTGAAATGAGAGATCAGAATTACTTAAAAAAATAATAAAAACTACAGCAGGAAGAAGCAGGTTGTTAGTCGTGTAAGACAACCAGAGTGTCAAGGATTTATCGGGAAATCTCAAGTTAAACATCTGTTGGCACAATACATGAGTCAAGGGACAAAATAAGGGTGTTTTTACAGAGATTCAGATGATAACTTTCATATCAATGTCACATTGTGAAAGGGGTCAAAATGAGAAGACACAGCCTGGCATTAATCTTCTAAGGAAGTAGAGAGAGGGAAATGTCATCATAGCTTTTCAACAGAGACAGGCTCAAACTCGAAGTGCAGTTCTGTTGAAAAATAAGTTTTTTGTTTTGAGAGAAGCCGGGTTTAGGTTACGTTTTAAAGCACGCAAACAATTTACCAGCTTATGCTGATCTGTCCTCATGGATCAAATCATAATGTGTGAACTGCCTGCTCACCATCTCCACTTGCCGAGGGTCCAGGTTGGTGGGGTCAGAGGCCGGCACAGCAAATTGGATCTTTCTCCTCTCCTTGTGCTCTCCCTCCACCTCTTTTGACACAGAAGGCTCCATGTTTCTTGATCCTGGGGCTCTGAGCCTCTGACTCCCAGTGGAGGCCAAAAGATATCTGCACCCTCTCTGGAGGAACCTCCAACAGCTGGGTAGTCCCACTCCTGATGGCTTCTTGCTTCCTCTCCTCTGCACTGACAGACTTTATTCTGTCCTCTCTTTAGAGAAAGAAATACAACAACATATACGTCTCCCTACCCTCTGTCCACTTTGACACTGCTACTGTCCTCTTCTATCACTTTGATATTAATTCTGCCTGCCTCTGTGTGCTCTCCCCTAAAACCTGTGCAGCAGAAGTGACTGAGGCATGTCCTCAGATCTGGTTGTGTTGCAGGGAGGTAGGTGGGTAAGAGGAGAGGAGGGTAGGGGAGGGGCCAGAAGCAGAGAGAAGGTGGAGACATCAGTAGAGGGAGTGGTCTGCATTAATGTGGGAGGAGAGAAACAGAGGAGCAGGGGGAGCTGCTGTGTAAGTCAGAGTACATTCTATATCAACCATATATTTATTTGTGAATGGGAGCTGTGTGCATAGCATGGGATGGGGGGCAAAGAGAATAGACAAAAAGGATGAAAAGGGAATATATTTTTTGTGATTAATAAATGCACCTAGTCAGCGGGAGAAAAGTAACTTATTTCTGATGGAAGGAACAACAAACGCCAGTGAATCACCCTTTCTAGGTTTTCTCCCATTACAACCACAAACATCAACGTTTTTTCTATTTGGGTTTACAAGTTATTCAGTATTGAAGTGGACGGAAATTAAAACTGACCCAATAATTAATAAAATAATAATAATTCAACTTTATTGATTTATTGATCTCACATTGGAGAAATGTATCTCTGCATTTTGTGCTCTTGTGGAGTGCTGCCATCATATGGTGCCCTTGGTGCATTGTGGGTTTAAGGGTATTGCTTAGAGACCCAGAGTGGAAGTCTGTGGGAGTGGGGCTCGAACTCAGAACCTCAGGATTCCAAGCGCCATAACCACTAGGCCACCACTCCCCGAAATGTCCACTCTCCAATACTCAAACCCAGTTTTGCAGATCTTTTGTTGTAGAAGCTAAATATTTTGGCCCTTTGTTGTAAACTAGCTGTTTGATTCATTGAGGAGCTTCTATGAATATTCGTTTCCACGTCTTGCCACATATTTTCAGTTGGATTTTGTTGAATACTTTCTTCCTAGCTGCTGAAAAGCATCCCCACAGCATGATACTTTCCACTCCACGTTTCACCAAAACAATGAGCTGTAAGATAACATATAGTATCAGGTTTTTGCAATATAACATTTTGCATGACATTGGTCTCATCTGACACGTTCTTCCATTTCCTATCTCTACTGCATGGCTTTTGGCAAGCCTTTAAATTATGTTTTTTTAATAAGATTTACTTTTTGCCAGTCCTCCATAAAAGGCATATTATTATTATTGTGTGGAACTTGGGTATTTCCTTTAAACCATGTCCATCTGAGTTGTTTTTTTGTTTTGTTTTTTTTGTTTGTTTTTTGCAGCTCCTCCAGAACAAAATACAAAGCAAATGGCTTAATAAATCTTTAAAGCTTTCCTGTTTTCGTGTGATAACATCTGAATCCTTTCAAATGGTAGGAAACCTTTTGCAAGACAGTGTACCTAATTTTTCTTCGTGTTAGAGAAAGGCAAGTTATATCTACTGTAAGAAAACCACACCGTGTGAAATAAACTAAGTTGAAAAGAAAGATTTTTTTCCAGCTGAAAGCAAGATTATTCAGTTTTCATGCTTAGATGACAACAGATATTTCATGGGGGCCCATTGCTGCCTGTTGCATACAGTAAAACAAACATTTCAGAGCTACTTTCAGGGACTGAAGCTAGCTGTTATTTCACTCACATGGCAGAGGGATTTGGACGATGCAGAGCGGTGGATTTGGCCCAGAGGCAGATTTGAGCTTTGACATGGGCTGGAATGAAGGAGATGGTTTTAGTGATGGAAGAGGAGGAGGAGGAGGTGTTGGAGGAGGAAGGGTATAGGAGGCTAGAGGGGCTTTGTGGGCAGAATATAGAAGGTCAAGGTAGATTTGGTGCCCTGGGAGTGTTTCTGCATCAAGACTCTTTAGAATAAAGAGTAATCCGAATGTTTATCCCGCTGGTGAGAGCTTTATTCATTCATTATCTTAATCTTATTTTGAAACACGGTTAGAATCAACAAAGTCCATCTCTTTCACAGATGGAAAATAAATTATGGGGCCTGTTTATGCAAAAGTTTGACACATCCCTCACAGAGCTTAAAAACAAATAAATCTTTCTCAGTCGCAGCAGTTGCATAACTTGCAGTGTGATCGGCAAGAATTGTGCAATTTTTCAAGGGGAATGAGTAATAGGGCTCTGTGCAACAGTCCAGCTCGCTACAAGCCAAAGCAGCATTCTAGTTTTTAATCAAACTGGAGATTTAGTCACTTTTGGCAGATGATAAGGGAGTGATTAACTGAAGCATGCTTGCTATTTAGAAAGCTGCACAATCAGCACGTGAGGAGAGCCTTTTATAATAATCTGAAAAAAACCTCCTCAACTTATCTCTCTGCTTCCAGTGAGTATATAACCATACATAAAAGGAAAATTAGTTTTTTTATGCTCTTCCTTTCTGAGAAATAGAAAAAGTATATTTTTCTTCTTTTTTTTTGTCACAGACTCCTAAAGAACCTTCTTAAGTTGTCATAAAGAGTTCCCCAAACTTTATTAGGAACATTTCAAGTTTCCTTTTGCATTTTGGCTGCTATTTACTCTCTTTTGACATTTAGTATTTGTACTTGATCCTGAAAGCACGCTATGCAGCATAAACAAATAGAAAAATTCACAAATGAAAGATGAAGAGTTGTTAGATTCACTAAACTGTGAATGAACAGTGAACGAAATACAGTCTGCGTAAAAGAGTGGAGACTGTGTGTGTGTTTGTGTGTGTGTGTGGGGGGGGGGGTCCAGCAATGACTAAAGGGTTGAGATACATCATCATTCTTCATCTGATTATCTAGTAAATAACTAATCAAACAGAAGAGTCATGGTAACATGGTAAGATAATAAAAAAGATAATAAATCTCCACTGAAAAGGAGAGGAAAAGTCTTTGCAAGACAAGGAGCACATTAAAAGATTTTGGAAAAAAAATAAATAACTGAATAATCCAAACCTTTGAACATTACTGTTAAAATACCAACTATGGGTCTTTTACTGGAATCCAAATGATGTATTGACCAGCATTTTACAAACGATGCACAAAAACTCAACCTGGAGAGATTTCTTAATGTCAGTTACTAGTTGGTGGGCAATGCAATGCAATGCATGGGCCTATCCTACTATGGAGGATCCTTTCTGTTCTCTGTTAGCTTATTGGGTTCATGCTGCTACATCCACAGTTAATGAACGAGGCCTATCGTTCTGATTTACTCCCAGATCTGTACAACTACTATTTAACAGCTTAGAAAAAAGGGCAATTAAAGCTGAACAGTGTTAATACCTCTTAATATATCTTAATATATCTTATATTGTCCTGAAATCATTACTGATATGACTCTATAATCATTCTCACAGTTGTATTTTCTTGTTGCTGAGTAAATCTGGTTTCAAATTTCTCTAGTCTTTGCTTTTACCCTTTTTTAAAGCTAATTTCTAGGGTTTTTTTATTTTAATTCTAGTTCTATTTTATGTTTGTAATAAACCATTCAGTGTAAACTTTACATTCAGGTAGATAGTACAAAAGCAATGCCCTAAGGTTGCTGTTTTGTGAGAAGAAAATGTGAAAAAAGTTTAATACAATTCAAAATTAAAATAATAATAATAATAATAGCATTTAAAAACAATTCCAGAAAGGAAAATCATCTTAAAAAGCTTTATAATATGCAAATAATTTAACAACTTAAATGACAGTCACCTGTCTGACCTACAACTAAAAAAATAATAAGGTTGTGGCTCTCTGTGAATCTTTATTTTGGAAATGTTGTTACATTTAATATTCAGCAAGACAAGGTTAAACCAGCCTGTACCATTCATCGCACTATTAGTCTAATACCATCTCTGCTTTTTACTGCATGATCAAACAGGACTGTGCAGAAGCAACAAACTATATAAAGTATAAAATGTCAGAAACATCCCCCTATCCCCGCTCTTTGACTGTACGGAGTTCAAGAGAAGAAAAGTGTCAGGTAGGCTTTCAAATCTCTTACACAAACATCCCAGAGCAGCCAGGCATTGTAAAATCCCTACACCATCTGTCAAATTAACAAAATTACAACCAATTGCTGATATTCTCACAAAAAAAAAATAAATACATTGCTCTGATTAGAAATGAGAAAGGGGATTTTATTTTCTATTGATTTTTTAACATTTATTCTCTCATTTTTAGAAAACTGTTACGTAAAAACTGCTGTTCCACCTGCACTGCATTTGTAGGTCTGAATGCTCCCAGGGGAGTGTTTGTTTCTGTCTCTAATTAAGTTACGTCACATTTGCTCTTGCGAAACTAGCTTTTTATGGACATTGTTTGTGCATAAACACATCCACTTGCAGACCTACATGGTTCCACCTCTATTTCTACTGAGCTCTGTGAGTGTGTTTGTTTACACATTTTGTTGCATGGGCATCATTAAATCAATCTGGCAGGACTAAAGGAAAAACCTGCTGAAGATAGATCACATTTGCACCCTCAGCAGTGATAGCTCAGACAGAATGCAGGAACAAGATGTACACAATGTTTGATATGTGTAGTGTGGAGTAACACATATTCACATGTTCAGAGCTCTAAAGACAGATTGCAAAAAGGCTGTAACCTTATCTTCTCCCACACAAGGCGTCTTATACCATGAATGATGAAGTGGAGCTGCAGCATACAAAAAATGTCTGTGTTACACTAATTAAGACCTGTTCAGACCTATCACAGGGCTTTTCATTTTAAGCTCATTTTCACCACGTTGTGATCTTGTTGCACTAATAGCCCATTACATTTGTGAGCATTTTTTTTTTTTTAGGACAAACATCATTTGAAGGGAAAAATTCCATTATCTGCTATCAAAAAGAGGCTTTGTGCCAGTGTAACAGGTGGTGATTCAGCAGGGGGAGATGCAGCTCATCAGTCAACGCCTGACTGGACTCCTCACTCATCCCCCCTCCATACTGTTATATAAGATACCCTTACACAATAAACAGGTTGTATTCGCATGAGGAGCTTCAGTGGGGCTCACCTGGGATGGCTGCACCTCCTAATAGGCTCGGTACTAAATTATATGTCTCAATTTGTCTACAAAGGGATGTACTTGCACCATCTAAGGGTCGACAGATGTAATTACAAGTACAAAATTTTGGTA